TCTCAGTAAGGAAATTTCTCTTCAAAAACGCAAGACACGAGCATCATTATCCACTACACCTTTTCATGTCTTTGCTGCTCAGCGAGGTTCTAATTACTACAAAGGTAATTCTCATGGTAGATTTCAGAATCGAAATCGATTCCCTCATAATCGCAATTCTGGTGCCAATCAGAACTGCAATTTTGGTGCCATTCAGAATCATAACCACAACAACTCAATGAGCATTCTAAGACCTGGACCTGGTGCAACCAACAATGTTCACAGCTTTGGACAATCTGGTGCCAATACCATTAATTACAGTTCTAGTCAATCCTCTCTTCTATCTGGCTGACATCTTCAATGTCAATTATGCCTTCAATTTGGTTATGAAGCTCTCACTTGTAATAGGCTTCCTCAAATTGTCTCTCAGCAATCTCAACATGGACATCATATGGGCATAACTGCTACCATTTCTCCTCATCCGAGTTATTGGCTTGCTGACAGTGGTGTGTCTCATCATGTCACTCCCAATCCAGCTTCTCTTAGCTCTGTTATTCCCTACACTGGAAGTGATCAACTCATTGTTGGAAATGGTAAAGGTTTGTGCATCTCCCACACCTACTCTACTTTACTTAGCACACCCAATGCTATCTTTAAACTTAAGGATGTTTTGTTAGTTCCTCAAGCATCTCATAACTTGTTGTCAATCTACAAATTTGTGAATGATAACTGGTGTTCTCTGACCTTCGATCCATTTGGATTTTATATCAAGGATCTAAGCACTGGGAGGATGCTTTTCCAGGGCCCCTGTTAAGGTGGCTTATACCCTTTCTACTGGAAAGCATCCAATGGCATTTCTGGTATTGCTATCTATCCTCAAGCCTTGATGGTTGCTAAAGCTGATGTTCACACATGGCATAAAAGACTCGAACATCCTTCTAGTCTTATTTTACATACTATTGTCAATAAGAATTAGTTAGCTGTTATTGGTTTTGATCGTAACCTGTCTATATGTTCTAATTGTCAATTGGGGAAGGCCTCTAGATTTCCATTTTCATCTTTGCCTTATACTTCCACTAGGCCATTTCATTTACTACATGCGGATGTATGGGGTCCTTCTCCCACCCCTTCATGTACTAGATATAGATTCTACCTTATTTTGGTAGATGGCTATACGAAATACAGTTGGCTTTATCATATGGTCTATAAATCTGATGTATACTATGTGTTCAAGATTTTTGTTTCCAAAGTCCAAACTTTGTTTGAATGCAAGATTCAATGTCTCAAATCCAATTCAATAGGTGAATTCTTAAGTAAACAATTTCAACTTTTTCTTAATGATCAAGGTATCATTCATCAACTAAGTTAACCTCATACCCCTGAGTAGAATGGGTGCACAGAGAAGAAACATAGACACGTTGTTGAGATGGGCAGAACTTTACTTTCTCAAAGTGGTTTACCTTCTAAATTCTAGATAGAGGCTTTTCAAACTTCAGTTTATCTTATCAATCGGTTGCCACCACAGAATTCAACCATTAGTCCTTGGGAACTGCTTTTCCATGTCACTCCCAAGTATCATACTCTGAAGGCTTTTGGATGTGCATGCTATCGCTGGTTACAACCTTATTCCTCCAACAAACTGGATGTTAAAAGCAAACATTGTGTTTTCTTAGGCTACAGTTTTAATCACAGCGGTTATAGGTGCCTTGATCATGTGACTAACAAGGTCTATATTTCACGACATGTAAATTTTGATGAGCAGTTATTCCCATTCAAGACTGGTTTCTTTTCAGTTTCTAATTCATCTACAGAGCATTCATCCACAAGTCCTTATTCTACAAGTGTTCCAATTCCACTTAAAATTCTAGTTACTTCATCACCCATTGTTCCACCTACTTCAACAACAAATATTTCAACTCCTTCATCAGTAAGTCTCTCATTAGCAATCTCTGATCATTAGCAAGTTCCTTGTCATACAGAGATTCCTTCCTCTAACTCTGATCATCAGCAATGCTCTATTCCGGTCAATGTTCATCTTATGATTACAAGATCAAAAGCAGGAAGTCACAAACCTAAAGTTTTTACTGCAACAAAACATCAACTTCTAGCTACTGTTGATTCTCTCACAAGCATTCCTCATACTCTAACTACTTTTTTGCAAGCTTCTAAGAATCCCAAATGGATGGCAGCCATAAAGGATGAGTTTCAAGCCCTACAAACTACCAAGACTTGGGATTTTGTTCCTTTCAATCCCAGTTACAACTTAATCGGCTGCAAGTGGGTTTTTAAGATCAAGCACAAACCTGATGGTTCAATTGAAAGATATAAGGCCAGACTCGTAGCTAAGGGATTCCATCAACAAGAAGGTATTGACTTCTCTGAGGCTTTTAGCCCAGTTGCAAAACATACCACTATACGGATTCTATTATCCATTGCTATCAATTATGACTGGTTCATTCATCAACTTGATGCGAGCAACGTATTCCTGTATTGTACATTGAAAGAGGCAGTCTCTATATGGTTCAGCCCCCTAGCTTTGTGGATTCTACTCGGCCAACTCATGTTTGTAAACTTAAGAGGTCTCTTTATGGCCATAAGCAAGCACCTCGGGCCTAGTATGATGCTTTCTATTATGTCATCTTATCATTGGGTTTCTTTTCATCCTTTTCTCGGACACTAGCATGTTCATCAAGAGAGATTCCTCCATTACTTTCATCTTGGTGTATGTCGATGACATCATAATAACTGGCAACTCTAGTTCAATTTGTCAATCTCTTATTTCTCAACTGCAGATGATGTTTCCTATCAAAGACTTAGGTGACATTCATTATTTTTTTGGGCATCGAAGTTCATAGATCTGCCAAGGGATTATTTCTGAACCAATCTAAGTATACATTAGATCTTCTTTCCAAAACTAATATGATTGGGGTTAAACCATGTTCTACACCTGTCAGTTCTGCAAAACTTGATCACTTTGGCACCTTGCTCTCTGATCCTACCTTCTACACTTCAATATTTGACATGGACACGACCAGATTTAGCATTTGCTGTTAATCAAGTCTGTCAATACATGCATGCACCACAGACAATTCATTTTATAGGCAGTTAAACGAATCCTTCGATACTTAAAGGGCTTCATTGATTCAGGCTTATGGTTTACTAAGGGACCTTAGTACTTAACTGCTTGGTTCGATGCTAATTGGGAAAGATGCCCTATTGATAGAAGGTCCACCAGTGGATATTGTGTTTTTCTTGGTCCAAATCTCATATCTTGGAGGGCAAAGAAACAAAACATAGTTGCTAGGTCATCTATAGAGGTCAAATATAGATCCCTAACCAACACATCTGCTAAGCTTACTTGGGTGTGTAGAATTCTACAAGATATCTCTTTTCCTTTTGTTGAAAACTCCAGCTATCTTCTGTGATAATTAGAGTGTTATTGCCTTAGCATTCAATCCAGTTTTTCATGCTAGAACTAAACATGTAGAGATTGATTATCATTACATTCGAGAAAAGATTCTCTCTGGGCATGTCACTGTGCATCATGTTGCTTCTCTACACCAACTTGCAGATATCTTCACCAAATCTTTGCATGCTGATCGTTTTGCGGATTTGACTTACAAGCTTGCAGTTAGATCACCTACCTTTAGCTTGAGGGGGTGTGTTAAGGATAAAGAAGGCCTACCAGGTTAAATCCTAGCTTAGCTATTAAGATAAGATTGTTAAGATAGTTAGTTAGTTTTTATGGTGACTCAGCAAATATTACAATGTATTTATACATGTGTACCCATCAATTGAATGATATGAAAATACAACTTTAATTACTTTCTCTCTCTACAATCTCTCTCTCTCTCTCTCTCTCTCTCTCTCTTCAATTTCTCTTAGATTCATGAGTTTCTACAATGCCAAGGGGTTAGTACATTTTGGGTGACTGGATCGTGTTTTGTCTAGTTAAACCAACATCTTTTCATAGATTTTTTTGTTGTGCCTTTACTGTCACAGCCCGTCCCGATATTTTCTATCGGGGACGTGAATTAACGGATTTACCCTTGACGTTACTAAGGTGTGTGTGTGTTATGTTTTAGATATTCATATTTTTCCTAACCTATTGGATATATTAATTAAGTTGGATAGAATTTTCAAAGGTTGAATTGTTTGTTTGGTTAGGGATGTAAATGGATGGTGTGGATTTGATCTTAGACCACACACATACACCTCCCTGTTATTCCTCCCTTCCCCGTGTCTCTCTCTCTCTCTCCTCGTCCCGACTCCCTCTCTCTCTTCACACCCAAACGTACGGACACCCAAACACCTTCCAAACTCGACGGATCGAGGCATCCAAGGTATGCATCTTCATCCTTTTGACGTTCTGAGTTGAATGGTACTAGTTTTAGGAAGTGAAACCTTCGGAATCACGTGAAACCCGAACCTCCATTTTGTGTCACTGTTCATGCGAACGTAAAATGTTGTGTTTCAGGGAATTCTAAGCTTGTAGTAAGCTTAGTGAGGTTCCAAGGAGGCTCGGAGTACTTCGTTTGAAGGATTTGGACGTCGGGATCACGTGGTTCAAGTTTGGCCGAATTTCTTGGAATTTTCCCGGTGAGATTTCTTGATTTTTAAAGCCTTAAACTAGTTTATCGTGATTCTACATGTTTGGGGCTTCAATTTGATATAAAATACGAAGAAAATGGGTGAAAACGAAGGATAGCGAAGAGTTTTAAAACTCGCCGGAAACCGGCCGCCAGAAAAACCAGTCCGGCGACTGGCTGAGGAAGAAGGTGCGCGTGGGGGGCGCGTGGACCCGTGCCACCCACGGCGCGTGGGGGCACGTGGGACCTCCAAAAAAATTTCTAAAAATTTCTCGACATCCGTGACGTCGAGTAGGTCGATGTGGTATATTCATATACCCAAATTGAGCATCGTATGAGAAGTTATTTCGAATTATTGGTTATGTGTTTAAATTAATGTTTTTATAGTTGTTTCGCATATAGGTGACACCTATCCCGAGGACGAGCGCATCCAGGGACGTCACGAGGGTTACGACCCATCGACTTATCAGTGAGTGGGCAGTTTTGATTTCGTATTACCTATATACAACTGCTTTTCCCAGAAAATGCGTTTATATGAAAATTATGATTTAAATTGCCATGCATGCTATTGTTGAGATATTTGAATTGAGAATTAATGCATATATATATGTGAATTGACGCGGTGGACGCACAGGTGAGTTTTATTATCTTTCAGATGAGTTATTTTATATGAATTACATTGAAAGCTCATAACCTGCACTTAGGTGTTAGTGCTTATATTGTTATTCACCACACCGCACGCTCGCCTTGGATCCAAGTAGGTGGATGTCGTACAGACCATGTGAGGGTTCCGACATGCTAGTCGTACAGATCACTAGATGTGATTCCGACTAGTGGGTGACCTTAGTTATGTGCGCTGATGATTGTTGAGAGAAGCACTAGAGCGTATTTTATACACCTATCATCGTACAGACTACTATACGTAGTTCCGAGTGATGTGCAGTGTAGTGCCGTACAGGTCACAGTTGGTGGTTTCGGCAGGGCCGTATAGGTCACTGTGGTGACTCCGGCTGAGTGGGATGTTGAGCTTTAGAATCAGCCGTACAGGACCATTGTAGGGTCTCCGAGTTGATTTATTATTTTCACCTGATTGACATTGATGCATTCTGATTATATTTTGGGCATGGCATATCATTTCTGAGATGTTATTATGAGGGATTGTGATTTGAGCTCTTGATGATATGTATATATATATATATATGTGTGTGTGTGTTTATATACTATTTTTTTTTTTTTTTGGAAAGTATACAGGTTTTACGGTGAGGGGTTATAAATGTTTTTAACGAAATGTTTTGGAAAATCTTTAGTTTTACTGACCCACTCATTTTGTTTTGCGCCCCTCCAGGTTCTAGTTAGCGGTTGGTGGCTCTCGAGGTCTTATTCCGGCTTTCTAACAGACTCTTGACATGTAGGACTCACCTGAGGGTGATGTACTTTTATTTCTGTCCTACTTGACTGCACTTAAACCTATGCTCTGAATTTATGTGTTTATCTTAACTCGTCCTGTTATTCTAGTAGGTTGTTCTGCTAGAGATTGGTTTAAATTCCTTCGTATTCTGTTATATCTTGCTTCCGTGTCGCACTCTTGGTTACGTCACACTCACGTGACGGCCAGCACGCCTTGATCCTCTGGGTCGGGGTGTGTCATTTACGAGCATGTAAATTAGCTCTCAAAATATCTATTTATCCTTGTAGAGTGACCTCCTTTCATCCTCTAGCCTCTATCCCATCTCCATCACACACTGCCTTACTGCCTTGCCTGTATAGGGATTGCTCCATCTCAACTTTGCTAATTGGTGAAAATGCTAAACTTTGAGTTCTTTCCCACATAAATGCTAGCTTAGTTCATCTGGTTCGTGGTAGGAGTCAAATATGAGATTGATCATGTCTTATTTGTTGGTTTTGTTTTATATGCTAACTGAACTTTGAGGTTTTGGTCATGCCCATGCTATCTTAATTGATTTAGTCGTTTGTAATAACGAAAGTGAAATTTCTTCATCTCTCTTTGTTGATTCATTTTAGATGACAAGTTCTTTAGTTTTGCATATACTGTATACACACATGTTGACTTAGTTCATCTAGATTCGTAAATGATTGAGTTGTTCTTGACAAATGTAGCTTTTTTGATTTGTTAAACCTTGATCATCTCATACATTCTGTATTTGTGAATTAGCCAGGAAGGAAGGAGGTCATCACTTGCATGTGAAATTTGTGCCTTATGAGCATCATGAAGATTGATACCACTTCAAGAAGATAAGAGGAATAAGTTTGCTTGAAGATTAATGAAAAGTTGCACATGGTTAGGTTATTCCGATTTGATATCTTGTGAAAGTGTGTTCTTGTTGTAAGTGTGCTTTTTTGCCTTCATTTGTGGCTAAAGCTTGCTGGCATATACTTGAATTTTTTACGAGACTTGAATATTGTTTGTGGGGTATGCATGGCATGCAGCAAGGTTAGCATTCTTGTGTCCGCAATTTTGACTTGCTTCTCGAGTGAGATGTAGGCAAATTGGTGGATATTTTGCTTTACTGACAGCATGGATCAACGAGCATTTTCATAATGTTATTACTTTCCATATAAATGTTAAGATCAAACAAGTGTGCATCGGTTGACCACACGAAAAGGATTCAGGGTTATCACTAGAGCAAAAGACTTTGCGACTCACGAATCAATGCGACGAATCAATCTTATAGCAAAAGACTTTGCTGCCAATGCCACGAATCAATCTTAGCAAAAGACTCTGTGATTCACACAAACAATACTCATTTTTGTGGCATCAAACCCGTGAAATGGGGGGCCAAGCTACTAGGCATGTTGATGTTCTAATATGACAAACATCATGTATTCGTTTGATGAATGATATACAAGGTTGTCTAGGATCCATATCTTAATTAGAGAATGCATCATGATATCCTTTACCAAAAGTGACAAGCTAGTTGCTCTCAAGTGTTTGGACATTGTGTAGCCCCTATTATGCTGATAGAGTTCTATTACAGTTTACCCTTGTTCATACAATTTCCCAAGAGTCATATACTCCTTCTCGAGTTTGACAGAGCATTTACACAAACATATAACATTGTGCATACCTACTTTGATGTGTTATAGCTCACTCTCTAGCAAGACATCGTCCCAACATGGTCTTCTGGGGTTGTGACAGTGGTAGGGGAAACAATGGTGGCGTGGTGGTGCTATGATGGAGGAGTGGGGGAATGGGAGCAGGGGTGGTGGTAATAGGAAAGGTAAGACCATGGCAAAAGTGGCAGTTGTGGTGATGGTGGTGTCAATGGTCACCACGGTGGGGGTGGCGGCGATTAGGTGGTCGTACAAGGTTGTAGAGGCGATAGTGATAATCGTGATAAGTTGGTTGTAGTAGAGTTAGCGTTAATGGTGGTGACGACGATCGTAGTAATGGGCAATATTGTAAGATGGGGGTGGTGTTAGTTATGGTGGTGGTGACAGCGACAATATAAAGGTGATCGTATGACATTGTGGTACGGTGGTGGTAGAAGAGGTGGTGATGGGTCATGGTGATAGTCATGGCAAGTTACAGTAGTTGAGGTGGTGTGGTGGCAATGGTAGCAATGGAGTGGTGGTGATGGTCATGGAAATTTTGGTGGTGGCGATGGTGGTAGCGGTGGCCATTGGAGTAATGGTAATGATCATGATAAGATGGTGGTGGCAACGTGGTGAAAGTGGTGTTAGCGATAATTATCACATAAAATGTGGTGGAGTATATCATCGAAAGTGGAAAAAAAATGAAATCCATCAAAATCTTCAAAGGGAAACCCTTGCCACCTTCCAATGCTTCTCATCGGAGTATGGGTAAAAACTCAATACCATATCCACTAGAATATTGAACCACATGCATATAAACACATTTATATGTAACATTGAAATAACAAGATTAAGGTTTAGATGTAACCTTTGGATCTTATTTTGAATCCAATGAGAGAGACTTCTTGTAGGTTTGATTTTCTTTGAACCTTGCTAACTGCTCTTCCAACTTATGGTACTTTGTGAGATCTCAAAGTAGACATCGCATAAGTTTCGACACCTCCAAGAGCTTGAGGTTGTGGTGGTGTGAGAGAGTTTGAGAGGCTAGCACAAACATACACACACACACACACACACACACACTCTCTCTCTCTCTCTCTCTCTCTCTCTCTCTCTCTCTCTCTCTCTCTCTCTCTCTCTCTCTCTCTCTCTCTCTAAGGGAGGGGACGACAAGGAAGAGGAGGAAGAGATGGTGATTTTAGTATTCACAATCGCAATTAGCAAATGATTATTTTCAACTCTTGAAAATCATTTGCTTCTCTCTCTCTTTCTTTTTCTCTCTTTCTCTCTAGGACACTGAGTGTTCTTGGTTTCTAGGTTCTCAAAAGTTGTGTGAAAACCAACCCTTTGTAAGCGAGAGATGGAGTGTGTTTAAAGGATAATGCTAGAGAGATTAAAATTTTAAATCAAATTATGTGTCATCAATAAGAAATAAGCACGTTAATCAACATTTAAGTAATAATCCAATCAACAACCATATTATTTGATTTATAAAATTTAGTTTAAAAATTTATTCTCCCTAATATTATTTGTGCTTAAGTAGACAAAGTTTGTTTATTAAAACAATCCAAGCCTCCGCCCACTTGAAAGAGAATCGGGCATGGAGCCATTGGGCTCATTTTTTTGGGCCTTGTCACGTATTTGACCCTTGTGTTAAGTGAAAAAGTCCAATGTGGACCCGGTCCAAAACCAAAACATTCCCGAAACATTTTCAAGTCCCTTCTTCGAATAATCGTCCTTTTTTAATACACAACTCTTTTAATTATTTTATGAGTAGTGTTAAACTTACTATTCATTCATTTTGTACCATTTCTAATAGGCGTAGAGTCCACAAACACTTGTTGATTTCATCTCTATTAGAAAAATAATACAAATAAATGGTAAGAATAATATTTTTGTTATTTTATTCAAAATATTATTAATCAACAATTCTATTAATATATTTCAACACAACGTGTTGTCTCAAACTCACAGGATTGAGTGTGCGGTCCATTAGGTTTTATCTGACAAGGTAATGAGATTAATTAAACTTCAATGATAATTAGTACATTATCACTTATGGTAGCCCCTAAGCCAATATAGAATTGGTATGATTATCAGAGTTGAGATATTAATGTCAAACTCTAAGGGGGCGTTTGTTGCGCCGGACTGTCTCGGACTGGACTAGCTGCAGGGACTAAGCTGGACTGGCTTAGACTAGACTAAGCTGGACTAACTTAGTGAAGCGTTTGGTGCAGTGTCAAACTAAGAAGCAGGATAATAAAAACAGCACTGTTCATCATATTTGTGTTTGCTTACACTAGAACTACAAATTTTTGCCATTGTGTAATAAAGTAATGCTACAAATGTCATGAGAAGATACTTGTGTAATAGAGTAATGCTAAACTTTATGCAATAAAATCGAACATTAACTAATGATAGTTTTCTTGGATTATAGAGTTTAAGAAAACAGAACTCATATTAGATATTTGTCTGAAGCAAGTAAAATTGCCATGGAAAATGTCACTTAAGTTCTTCACGTGCATGATATATGGTGTTCTGGTTTTCTGTTGGGTGAAGATGACTAGGATCCAATGGTGGTAGGGTTTTGAAGGAAGGGGAAACGTGAGTACTAATACTTTGGTTTCAAGAATCCTCCAAGTGTACCCAACAAACCTTGCTCAAAAGAAAAGAAAATAGAAAAGCATAGTAATTAAACAGGCTATAAGGGGCCGTCTCTTTTTCCATGTGGCATAATTCATAGCTGACTAGATTAACAAGCAAGAGCAAGTACATAAGAAGATCTCCATAATTTACAAAATACCAGTGAACTATAGTATACCATTCAAAAGTAGATCTCCATAATTTACAAACTCCTAGTTAACATTAGCCAAAATACTTCATAGTGGAAAGCTAAGTTATAAGTCATAACCTAAGATTGTACGATTAATAAAATACATTCATATCAAAAGACACCACATAATATACTCATCCGCTTGCTTTGTCGCTTAAAAGACACCACATAATATACTCATCCGCTTAGCCTTATCCTTCCGTTTATGCTCATCTTCTCTGCAACCAACAACCACAGAATATTGCAGTTCAGCATACAAAATATTCACATTGTAATATCATGGTTATAAACTAAATACACACACACACTTACAGAGCACACACACACTTCCAGTGCAGAATACACACACACACACACAAACACCAACTAAAGATACACACACACACACACACACACACACACACACATAAATTAGACACACACACACAGTTTACACACACACACACACACACACAAACACACTCACACTCACACTCACACACACACACACACGGGGACAGAGTGCAACACACTCATACACTCACACACACACTCCGTTTTTACACTCACACACACACATTCACACTCACACTCACACACAAACACAGTCACACACACACACACACACACACGGGGACAGTGCAACACACTCTTATCCTCACACACACACTCCGTTTTTATACTCACACACACACACACACACACACACACACACACACACACATACACACACACACACTCACACACAAACACAGTCACACACACACACACACGGGGACAGAGTGCAACACACTCATACACTCACACACACACTCCGTTTTTACACTCCACTGAATCTCAAAGATAGACTCGCATAAGTTTCACGACACCTCCAAGAGCTTGAGGTTTGGTGGTTGGTGAGAGGAGTTTGAGAGGCTAGCCCACAAACATACCACACACACACAACCACACACACTTCTCATCTCTCTCTCTCTCTTCTCTCTCTCTTCTCTCTCTCTTCTCTCTCTCTCTCTCTCTCTCTTCTCTAAGGGAGGGGACGACAAGGAAGAGGAGGGAAGAGATGGTGATTTAGTATTTCACAATCGCAATTTAGCAAATGATTTTTCAACTCTTGAAAATTCACACACACACACACACACTCACATACACACACAAACACAGATTACACACACATACACGGACAGATTACACACACACACTCACACACACATTTTACACACATAACTCATACACACATATTTTACACACCCTCTCTTTCTTTCTCTCTTTTCTCTAAGGACACTGAGTGTTCTTGGTTTCTAGGTTCTCAAAAGTTGTGTGAAAACCAACCCTTTGTAAGCGAGAATGAGTGTGTTTAAAGGATAATGCTAGAAAGATATAAAATTTTTAAATCAAATTAATGTGTCAATTCAATAAGAAGATAAGCACGGTTAATCACATTTAAGTGAATAATCCAATCAAACAACCATATTATTTGATTTATAAATTTAGTTTAAAAATTTATTCTACCCTAATATTATTTGTGCTAGTAGACAAAGTTTGTTTATTAAAACCAATCCAAGGCCCTCGCCCACTTGGAAATGAGAATTCGGCTATTGGAGCCATTGGCTCATTTTTTTTGGGCCTTGCAAAATTACAATAGTCATGGCCTTTTTCCACGTGACAGACAATAGTGACTCAGATCTGAGGATTAATTTGCATTAT